TCTGCAAAGAAATTCACTTGAGTGCATTTAAAATGCAATTGTTGTATACAATGAAGTAAAATGCAGTAATTAAAAAAAAAAGAAGAAAAATTAATTGTAAAATTATGAATAATTTTAAAATTCAATTTTATATGAGATTTTTTTTGTAGGAAGAAATAAGATGAAATTGCTTTATGTATATAAAAGGGACAAAGCTTAATATAAAATTAATGGATTTGATATCAAAGGTAGATAGAAAAGTTTAATAATATATGAAAAAAATGAATAATTTTCAATCGAAATTTTTTGTACAAACAGAAATATGAAAAGCAACAGTTGAGATGAATCCATTTAGATATATTATGTATTAGTTTCAAAGAAAATAAAAATTTAAAATCTGATTCTAAATCATTTTACAATTTGAAGATGAAAATCATTTTTTTTTACACTTTTCTATTATAAGTTTTATTTGAAATGAACTCTATTCACTGTGTTTATGTTCGTGTGCGGTCAAATGGACAAGCTGAACATGATAAATGATTGCTTCAGGGCAAACTTCCCCCAAGTAAGTATAAGGGGAAATAAAAGCGTTGTAAAAAAAAAGGGGGAGCCTGCGGTGTATGGGAGCAACTAGTCCAATGGAATTTGCTACTCGTTGAACAAAAAAAATAGAAAGTCGATGCCGTGATTAGGCCGAAGAAAAATGTTGTACCCTCGAAAAGAGCAATTGATTTCCGGATGATTTGTTGTCGGTGGACGGCGATTGATTTGGATGGAATTAGTTGGAAACAATAGCGGAAATCGGAGGAATACAGTATCCGTGTCCCTAGGGATGATCAAGTGATCCAGATTTCGCTCTTCGTTTGCGACGCGAATCCAGCAGATTGCTCGGATTGCTGCTAGCAATTCGATATCGCCGAGGACGTAAATTAATTAATTGCAAATACGAAAACTATGTTTACCCCCAATATTTATTTGCCTTATTTCAATTAAGAGTACGTATTCAGTGTGTTTTCGATGTTCCGGATTATCGGATTTCTGCATATAATTGGGTAGATTCACGTCCTTCTAATCCAAATTCAATTTTACCATCAAAACAACAAACAACAACAACATTTTAATTGGAATTCTCCAGCAAATTTATACTTTAATTACTTTTATTGTTTCATTATGTTCATATGAAACTGCTCTACAGCATCACAGCCCTACCTTTATATAAATATGCATCTAAAAATAAAATAAAGTAACTTTTAAATTAAATAAAATGAAAATAATAAAAAAAAACATTATTTTCGAAATAACTGCGACACAAACACATTATTAGTGTGAATTATGCGGTGACCAAATTGTTTTTCAAATAATATTCGCATGGTATTATATTACACATGTGTAGATCAGGCAGAGGATACTGAATATAATATTATTGACATGCATGGAAATTGATTGCTGCATACGCGAATACTGGGTGTTGATTTGTATTGTTTTAATAATAGGATTATCTGCGTATGAGCGGATTTATGACAAACAGATTAAATGAAAAACATGCTCTATGTGTTTATAAATTAATATCCGATACGCAATGAAATAATTGAATTTATAGTATTTATTTTGTTTTGAGTTAAAAAAAATCATCAGTTTACGAAAATATTAATCAGCAGGATTTAGGAAATCCGGTTGTAATTTGGCAGTAGATTGGAAAATTATAGCTTATTATAATGATTTGTAAGTGCAGGAAATAAAGTTTTCATAATTTCTCTCTGACATAATCAACGTGTTAATGCATAAATTTAAATTAAAAGTCATTTGCATCTGACGCTATTGATCGCTGCATAATTTCCATATGAAAACATGTTTTGTGATTGTTTGTTAAAGAGTACAATTTTTATTTGCTAACACAATGCGAACTTTGATGAGGTGAAAAAAGAGTCGCTGATAATACATATTATATAACTTTGCCGATGGATAACTAATCTAATCATATTTGTATACACTGGGAAGGCAAAAGCTATATTTTTTACGCATATTGAGTATACATTGTCTGAAACTTTTAATTTATTATAGAAATTCCATTTCTATATATTTTTACATACCCGGCGCATCCACCATATAAATGATGAGATTTGACGAAATGTTGGAATCTTGATTAGTTATAAGATTATGAAAAAAACTGTTAATGAAGAAATAATCAAAAATTTTAATGAAAAACAATTTGGTAATAAAAAATGTTTTATTTATTGTTTTAAGTAATTTATTGAAATAAAAGTAAAACATATTTGTTAATATATTGCAATTAATTAGTAATGCGTTGATTGTCGAGCAACCGGTAACATCGATCAGAATACAACTTTATATTGCATATGCATAAAAGGGATGCGCAAGCGTCGCAACGTCGACGGCGGCGGCAGAGCCCTATATAAAGGGCGCACGGGAAGTCGCGGACGCACTTGTGTTCATCCCTTCGACGTTGTAGTTCTTCGAGATTGAATCCAGCGAGTCCAAAGCACAGCAACTGGTTCTGGTGGCAAGTGTAGCAAATGATGCAGATCCTGCATCGTCCTACGATGGCAGAAGAAACCGTCGGCCGCGGCGTAAGTGCATTTCTTTTTTTTTTTTGTAAAAACAATTTTTTAGAAATGATTTAGAATGGTTTTGGAGATGTCTAAACTTTGTCCCAAACCCGCCAAACTCTCGGCTATAATGGTCTAGTCTTGGTGGATGCGCCGGGACGGGAAACATTTACAGGCTTTGCATATGTAATTTTTAGAAATTTTCAAAATTTTATTATTTTCTTACAACTTTTTTTTTAATAATATGTAAAATTAAGCCCATCTCCCAAGTTATTCTAAAAAAATTAATGTTTGATGTTAAAATTTATGTTTGCACAAATTCGTATAATTCGCCATATTTTTGTTCTCCGACAATCTTTATTATAATTAATTACAACTAATTCTCAACATTAAATATTTCAAAATTTAGTCACAACATAAATATATTTGTAAAGTTTTTCATATTTTTTTTACTGAAATTTAATTCTTAAAATATTCTGAAAATTATGATTCATGTTATATTTCATAAATAAATTAAAATTAGTATTTTATATTTAAAGTAAAATTTTCTATATAATTTAAATGAAATTAAACAGTAATTTAATAATTATCATAAAATTTCTTAAAAAAAAAACATATTTCCTATATATGTTTTAATTGCATGTTGTATTTGATGAATCATTGAGTAAATTGCTCAAATCCCGGTAAGTGAATTAAATGTTAAATGTTGTAAATTAGATATTGTGAAGCTCGATGTTATTGCTGTACAACATTTTTAACCGCACAATTACAGGATATTAATAAAAAAAATGTATTTTACTCAATTGATTTCAATTTCACTTTGCTTTTATTAAAAAAAGCGATATTTTTATATTGTAAATTCTAAATTCAAGTAGAAATTGGCAAAAATAATCGTAATTACGCGCATGCATGCTATAGAATTTTATTAATATCACTTTTATCAAATCATCAGAATGTCGTAAATGCTATTACATGTTGTGCATCTTGATAATATTAATTTTCTTCCAAACGCCCAACGAAATCTAATTTTTCAGCTATGTTATTTAAAAAAAGAGAAAGAGAAATATATATTATAAAATAATTGTCGTATTGATTAAAGTTATATTATTTTTATTAATTAATATTTTTAAGACAGAACGACTTCGCTCGATAGTGTTTTTGGTTAAACTCTGACCAAAGATTTTTCTAATTAATTAAATTTTAATGTAATGATGCTAAATATAAAATAAGACGACTATGATGTAATTAATGTATCGAATATAAATTAAATTTAATTGTTAATTAATGTTAAAATTAAACATTGATTTAATAATGAGCAGCTTAGTTCAAAATATTTTTTCCACGAGCTAATTATCATTACAAATTCATTTCTACGCAATCTGTTAATTATAAATAATGATTAATAAACTCTGCGGGTGGGAGGAGCTTTGCTCCTACTCCGCACTCGATTTGGACCAATCGGAATACGTGATTGGTGATTTCACGACGCCCTCCATCCTATGGACCAATCAGAAATTTAATTAAAAATAAAAAAAATAGCTATTACCTATATGGAATTGCAAATTGTTAAGGGGTGCGAAAGACAGAGAATATAGATAAAACAAAATATCAAAAAAAAAAATAGTTACAGTATTGTTTACGAACTATTTGGAGATGTCTCTTACGCTATTTATATAAACAGATAAGTTATATAAAAACGTGACGCAAAGCGTGCGGGGTGAGCAGAAATATGGAAACGAGACGTGATGAAACATTTTTTTTTTCAAGATTTATGTATATTTTTAACACTGATCACCTTCCAAAGCTTTACAATTAATATTTATTTTTTTTTCAATTTTGTTTTGCACGATCCCACATTTTATCGTGGATTTTTAATCATGATTCTTATTTAAATATGTACATTTTTCTTCAATTAGAACTAAAAATTGCAAATTTAATTATTAGCAAGGAGTCTTAAACTTCTATTGGTAAGTAATAGAATAGTTAATAGAAATATATTTATAGTTGAATAGGATTTTGAAATAATTACATTCCGATTAAAATATATTTATACCTTCTTGCATTTCAATCACTTTTTTTGCACTTGTTTAGTTAAGTAGACCAAATTAGGAAATTTATTAAATACAGTTTTATTAGTTTATTAGATTTAATTATTTATCTTACTAATCTTTATTGCAGCGTAAAAAATACAATTTAAATTATTTATTTACTCAATTATTTAAAAAAAAATATGAATATTTATTTCATTCATTTTAAAATGTAACAAAAAATTGGGATTAATTACTTTTTAATTGTTTTCTAAAATTAAATTTAGTGTAAATTGGTGATCAGTGGTTAAGTCACATAAATTGAGTAGCGTTTCCATAGTTCATTGCCTCGAACTGAGAGTCTATTTTGTCAATTCGAAAGGTGTTAGCTTTGATGCCAGAGACTTTAATTAAGGGGGCTTCGCAGGTTGTCGTTGACGTCAACAGCCAAGTGGCAAGTTTCAGAGACTTGCTGATTCAGATAGGAGGGCACAGAGATGGGCCGGAGCTTCGAGAAAAGATCCGCAAAGCCAGACGCCACTGCGTCGAGTCCTGCAAACAGGCGGCCCTTATTCTCTTGCCGCACGTCAAAAGGTAAGTCCTTTTTTTCCGAAGACTATTGACGCACAGTACACCGATCCGAGTCCTGAATTAACGACGCCTACGAATTCCAAACAAATGCGCACAATTACAATACTGTCCTTTCGCCCACCCCTGAAACAAATAGACATTTGAATTTATATTATTCGCGTTTTCAAGAAACAAATTGATTCCTGAAATAAATTGTTAATATACTGATTTACGTAATTCCGTTTACAATCAACTATACCGTTACTTATTATAGGATGGATAATCCTGATGTACAACAAATCCAATTTATTTATTCTTTCATATCATTTTATTAGGATATAAAATTAAATACAATTAAAAAAATTATGGCTGTTGTATAATATTGGAAATCTAATTTCATTATATTATGTTTAAAATTGGTAATCAAGAAGAGGATTGATGTAAATGAAGGATGTGATGATCTGCAAAAAATAAATGGATGCTGGTAGTCTAGATGGATTGAGGACGGGATTGAATAAGTATCTCGGTTTCATTTATCTAGGCTTCCGCATTCATAAGCAACACATATAAAATGACCGGAATATTTGGAAAGTGGAAAGAGAAACAATGCAAATATGCATTCATGGGATGGTCCGTGGGCCGAGATTGTTTGGTCAGTTTAGCATCAATTGACAGACAATTAAATGCATTTGCCGAAATGGGCTGCGGTCCGACGCATTCGCAAATTAATTCTGTCCTGTGGTTCTTCCACATCAACGTCATCTCAATTAACTCAATTCGCACGCTGGAAACCATTCGGAACCATAATAGGACTAGAGGATTGGAGGAGATTATGGATGTGTCTATGTGAGATACACGAAACAAGAAAGGATAATTTCTAGGTGCTGACTCACATCATGTTTTTTTACATCAGGATTCATAAATCACGCGGCGAAAACCAAGATCACGTTGTTATTATAGTGGGGAATCGATTTCACTGAAGACGGTGTCGTCGAGTTTACATGCAGGATGAAAACTAAGGCTAGAGGATATTGGAAATCTTTGCTTCTCATCACCTGAAATCCATTTTTGACACTGGACAGGTCCCAGTCAGAACACGTAATTGCGTCTGCTATCCTTGATATTGGCTATAGATGCGTCAACGTAATTGAACCGAAGACAAAAATTTAATTTGCTTTTACTTAAATTAAATAACTTGCGAATTGCTCGAGGAAGTGGCAAAGCAAAATATTAAATTCTTGGGAACAATCTGAAATTCACGGATGTCTGTAGTCTCATTAAACCAACCTCTACTAATGTCAAAGCTTTGTCGGCTCCGACTGAAAATACTAGTAACGCTTCGCGTGTAAAGGATAGGGCGGATCATTCGCAAATGGTTAACTTGTTTAAAAAAAATTAGTTACTTCATCTTTTGATTTATTCGAAAAGTTTTACTACGCAACGAACAACTTCATTTATTAAATGAAATTATATGAACAGTAATAAGCGATTGATTTTATGATCATTAAAATGAATTCCGCTAGAATTTAAAAAATTTCTTAACGTAAGGACTCCAGTTGGAAAAGAACAAGCGACGAAAATATGTGTTCGTACCGCTAGGTTCGAAGGATCGCGTGTCAGATTGCAGCCCATTCACGTTTTGTTTTATTCGTTGGCTGCTGTATTTTTTTTTGCCATGCAAATCACTTTCTGTTTGTTACCATTTCAAGTACGCTCCTTTCTGCTCTCGAAATGCCAAATGCAGAGCAATTTCATATAAAGCATCATAAAAAACAAGAAGCAATTTTAAGTGTTTTAGTTTCGAGCAACCTATTACAACACTACACAAACGACAATCTGAATTTTAAATTTGATCAATAATTTACTTTTTTTCTATTCAATTTGGCAATTAAGTGAAAAATTACTGTATATTTCATCTACAAAAACCGAATTTAATATCTAAAATTATATAGGAAATGAACAAATTTGTATAAAAATTAAGAAATTTAATACAAATTTATTAAATATAATTTGTAATACTTGAGTGGAAATTGAGAAATACCAGAGGCAGTTCGATATTTATTTGCAGCCAGATACTGGATGGAAGAACCCCAATTTTACATTACTATTGTGTATTTATATAACATATCGAATTCGATAACTTGGGTGGTTCGTTCTCCCAGTTTCGTTCCAACAACACGAAGCGTGTTGTATTGAGAGGAATAAGGGAGAAAATAAAAAGTACAAACATTCAGAGTATTTCTCTGCTACGTCGGTTCTCTACATATATGCAGAATTGGAATTTCTGAATCGGGGATGTGGAAATGTAAAGCTTTTCCGGCTGCGAGAACAACGTTTGACCGCCGAAGAAATCGGTGGTATTTCGTATTTCGTTCGCACTGCACTTCTCGCCTTCCCCTATTTTACCTGGAAGTTATCGTGCCAGAAGGAAATTACATTTTGCGATCACGTGCTTAGATTGCGCACCCGGGGAAAAATGTCAAATGGTTCCCCTGTGCGGTATGCAAAACAGCACAGTCTCAACTCGACTTCGAATTAACGTGTAGCTCGAAATTAGCTGTTGCGTTATATAAAAAAAAAACTACATTCAATAAACACCTATTATGTAATTACAATCAATCAAGTTTTCAATTGAAATTTACTTTAGACTTATTGTTTTCTGTTGTTTCTTATATTTTTTTTTGTCTATTTCCGCTTGAAATAAGAAAACAAATCTTCGAATAAACCTGCAGTTGACAACTGAAATATAACGGTAATTGACTTCCCCTATAAAACGGTAACAAAGGGTGAACATTCCTGAAAGAATAAGGAAAAAAACAATAATAATTACAAACGGAACGATACATATGGATAATAAAGAAAGAAAAAAGGGTTTTCTTAAGGAAATTTACTCCGCTTTGATCAATTTCTCATGCAGGATAGAAATAAAGAAGATGTACCTTTTCTTTGTGAACTTCATCTTCTCGAGCTTGAGCAAAGAAAGTCTCCGAAACTCTAACGAAGTACAATTTTGTAAGTTATTCTGCTGAACAGGTGAAGTGAACTTAATGCAATTGAATTAAACCTCTCATCTCGGATGGAAAACCCTTGCTCGGATGCAACGCACGCTGATATGCAGCTTCAATACACGCTGATACATTTTCTGATTTCATAAATAAATTCACCGTCAATAATTCAGGAGCGAAAATTTTCCCTTCGTTTATGCAAACAAAAAAAAAATTTTTTTCGTCTCACCCCTCGTTAAATATTTATCCTAATTGAAATTATACTAATCAAGTCAACTCGCTTCACAAGGGTGAGCAGTAACGCGGCTCAGTGTTGTTTCATTTTTAATGTTTCCTATACTGTGTGCAAACTGAGAGGGGAATCCCCTTTGGAAAACGCCGGAGAATTCATATTCTTATTCTCCGGTTTGCACTGCAAACTCTTTCACGAGAAAACATAAATATTTGCTGCCCGGCCAAACTATTCAGAGGATGTTTTAAAATGATGACAAATTAATACGTAATACATAATTTAGCCAATTATTTAATCTATTTATATTAATATAATGTATTAGTACATTAATTAACTGAATATAAATTAAATCAAATGATTTTGTTGTCGTTTTCAAGTTAAAAGTCAAAATTTCGGGTGGTCACGTCGCGTGACCAGCTATTACGTAAACACGCAGCACGGATTGCTTTCTTTCTTTTTATTTTCGTTGGAATTATGTCACTTGTTGGTAAACCCGGTACAAATTCCCTGCTTTCGTGATGCAAACATTCTTTTTAAAATCTAGCCTTGGAACCACTTTTACAATAGGTTTGACATACATTTTAGTGAGCAAATTTATATATTAAATTTATTAACTTTGTTGTTTATTATTACATAAAATTAATGTTTATTATAATGATAATTAATACAGTTTATGAAAGGGAATCCCAGTAATTACAAACTTTTTATTCTTGCTAACATCAAGCTATGCTATGCAACAGAGGGAAAATAAGTTTTAATGATTCCCAGTTCGTTTTTCTTTAGATTTTTCTATTTCGCAATCCTTTGTTGCCTCTCCATAAAGGAAATGGCTGAATGGACTCACTCAATGCTAGTAAATTTCAAATTAGTTTCATTGTACTATTTCCAATTGTAATGATTAAAGTAAAAAATTATAAAAGAAAAATATATTCAATGATTTCCATGTAAAAAGGGAAGTATTGATACAAAAAATGAAGAAGTAACTAGTCCATTTAATGGAGGATTTTGGTAGGAAATGTAGCTGAAACATCTGAGTATTAGTCGCATATTGGTTTTGATTCATCAGATACTAATAATTAATAAGATTTGAAGATAACGAAGTTGGAAAGTGTGGATTAAGAAGTAATTAGTCGTTTCAGTGGGAAAACTGCGAGTAGGAAATCTAAATGAAATAAGTTCTGAAAGTTTGTGCTAATAATGGAATTGCCCTTCTTGTAGACTATAAAACGTTGAAGTTAACGAGATCTGAGCTACCGAAAGCGACGTCGAATAAAAGCAAATGGAATCTCGTGTGTGCGGACGGTCAGGGGATCGGGGGGTTTGGTGGGGTTGATGGCAGGACGAGACGCAGAAAAGAGGATCAGGCATCCATTATTTAAGAGCTCGAAACGAATCCGCGCGTTTCCGGTAAGCTACTTACGTAACTGTTGTTGCAACTTTGACGGGGTTTCGCAGCGCTAATTAAGAGCCACACCTGAGCAGAAGCGATGTGGAAGAGGACAAGGATGACGATGAGTGACGGGGATCTTGCAGGTGGAATTAATTAGCGTGTAAATAATACGTTTACCTCTGAGGAGTTCAAAGGAACACTTCCGGATCTTCATCAGGGATGCACGCGTCGTCCCCCGAGACTATAGTACAAAAGTGCCGCTGCTGAAAACCCTTGAAAACTTAATTAATCCTCCGCGAAAATCGCTAATTAATCCACCGTACTCCAAATAAAGATGCGAATATTAATAACATTAACAGCTTGTTCTTTGATGTTATTTTCATAATTAAGCTGATTATTAAAACATGAATTGTTTAAAGTGATCATCAATTTTATATTAATTCAAAGGTGAAACATTAGAATTCGCGGAGTTGTGTTAATCATAGATCGATAATCGCATTATTAATTGAATCGTGTAGATTTGAAGATTTAATAGTGATGGAATTAGCATTAATCGTCTGTAATCCGATTTGTTGTAGCGTCTACGCAACCGGAATTCCGGTGGACTGTCAGAACCTGGTGCTGTTCTTCTTCATGGTTCAGATGTTCTGGAGGGAACTGGAAAAATGTCTTCATTTAGTTCAGTTAATTCCGATGGACATGGCGGAATACTTCGGTAATATCAGCATTTCGGATTGCCTCCACGAAAATATACGTTCTAAAATAATCCTCAGTTCTTGTTGTCATCATAGAAACGAGAGCCGGTCCATCGAACTTCGGGAATGTCATAACGCAGATCCTGCTGTGCAAGCAACTAGCTCCAGACTTCAACGTCGAAGAGGTGTTCAGCGTGTCAAAAGACATCAGAGAGATCGAACGGCTTCTGGCGGAGATGCAGGAGTTCATGCCAGAGCAAGAACAGGACATGGGTGAATATTATTTTATATAATTTACAAATCGTGAATAGCTTGAAAAAATGATTCTAAAATAGCAACTTAGAAGGATTCTTCTGAAAGTAGGAAATGTTACCATTTATGTTACAGAGCGTGCGGAAGCGTTGACGGAGAATGCAGCAGCCCCATGGACGGATCGAACAGGAGAGGAGTCTGTCTGCACGATGAGCTTCTTCTGCTGCGTAAGCCGACAGAACTACATCTGACCTCGAAGGTGGATCCGGAGGTCCAGACGAGCGATTCGAACACTCGTGAATAAGGTCCATGACCAAGTGCGCGCGAAGGTCCCCCAGGTATTCAAAAACCAGATCCGCCGATAGGCATACACACCCATAACCCACGGACACCGAATCCCCGATCCCATTGCGACACTTCCTGTAAAGAAATCACGATTACATTATCGTATTCTTTCTCTTCTTCTTTGTTTCTGTTAGCGAAATTGTTGAGCCAATCTAATAGATCAATCAACCAAAGCGTTTTGTTTTCGTTTTTGTACCCAATTCAAGGAATTACAACCATACTCGTTTGATGCCAACCACCTGTCGATCGCGCTCCGCCAACACCACCATACCAACACGTAAATACAATATTCATGGGGGATTATTACGGAAAACGACTCTATCTTATTATATGGATAACCAGTATTTAAGTGTAGCAAATAGGAATTAGGTGTTAGAAAGTAGTCGTTAAATCGGTGTTGTTTTCACAATAACAAACGCTATATAATGCACATATAGATTATTATTTACTCTACGCAAGCGGATCATACATACAAATTGGCAAATTTCAAGAGCAAACATGAACACAAGTCATAAATTAAATATTCTAGACTATAACTTAAATAATACAAGCACTTTCAATCTAATGCTTAACGTATGATTCAAGCATAATGGTACTTTCCTTCCATTGCCAGATAAATGTAACGTAAAGTAACGCACCTTGGATAAACTGGTAAAGCCACGTACTTTGTTCAGGATTTGATTGACATTTCCCATTGATACCGCTTATCCAAATCTATCTGAAACTCGTTACATCTCTTCTCTGAAGTTGAGTTTTGTTTACTGGCAACTTAAATGGAAAGCCATGAAACTATATAGATAACTATATCAATAAATTAGTTAACATCTCTAATTAATATAAAGCAATTAAAAGGGTAATAGTAACTAAGTCAGAGTATGAAAATTAAAATTTATTTTTAACACAATTGGTTTAAGGAAACCCGAATTTAAATATAAAAAGAACCAAATATTATCTAAAGAAATAAACATTAGATTATATTAATATAAAATCAAAATTTTAATAAATAAAAAGAAGTTACTTAATTAGAATTTCTTATTAATGATGGATTCTTTATGAAAAGAATCTTAATGGGGGAGATGCGAATGCGAGAGATTATCTTACCGCTTTTATACTTGTTTAATCCAGTTTAGCTTTATGCCCCTTTAAGCTGTACAAGTGTCAGGACGATTAAGTTTCCAGGTGATTTCTTTCAAATAACCAACTATTCAATATTTCTTAAAAGAAAAATTACGTATATTTTTTCAATTAAGATTTCGATATGATTGTACTTGATGTTAATGATCCCAGTTAATACTTATAATTCTCATATTTTTATTAACGTACTTATTTTATCCAATGTGTGTTCTTTTTTGTTTCATAATATTACGGTTTAGAGAGCGTTAAGACTGTGAACAGATAGGCCAAGTAAATCAGTTCAAAAATATATTTATTTACTTGATTCTTTCAGGGAAAATAGACTTGGATAATTATTGATGCCTTTGATTTCCTTGCACTAAATCCCAGTATTTATTATTGGTTATTACAACAACTAATTTAAGGCAAATCACTGTAAGTCTAACACCAACTAGCCCATAAGTCCCAAATACGCTTTATCATTGAACACTTGGTTATTTTTAACCTTACATTTAACATTACCTCATTAGATAATAAGGATTAAATTTAATTACACCTGAATTCGAATTACTGCACTTGATTCCTTCTATATTCAAACATTTCACTTACGTTGTACGGATTAATTACTCGCTCCTAATTGATAATTATTTAACTATTCACTTATAAATTAATTCTATTAAAAAGTACATTGATTTTCGACATTTAACAATTTATATTACAAAAAAATCTTACATTTTGTGTCGAATAATTATCCTTGTTTTCTTATTAAATAACTGTGATTCAACTAAATTTAAGAGTTAATAGGCAATTAAGATTATTAAAAAGTAAGATAATTAAGAACAACAAAATTTCATAAAGATTTTTTATTCATTTCGCCTATTACTCATATAAGATTAAGTTTAGGTTTAAGAATTAAGCTAATTCCAATATAATAAATACGATAGAAATAGTTTCAATTTTGTTTCTGGTTCAATAAATAACAATTCCACAAACTTATATTTTACAGACTTTCAGACTTTCTTAATTTTATCAGTCAAAATTCAGATTTTCAATTTATTTACCTAAATTTATTTTTCTATTTCGAGTCACACTTAATGATTTTAATACATTAATTACAGCAATTAAAGCGGCAAAATTGAATTCTAGTCTAGTATAGTTTAGTCTAGTGTAGATTTAGTTAATTATTTGTTTTTTATGGTTAATTTAATATTCAGTGTAACGAAAAGCACTATACGCTTAACTACGCTATGTGGCAAAAAGCAATAACTGCTGACAATCATTACACAATATATTTGGTCATCTATATCTAATATAGGTAACCTATAAGTCTATAAAATAGATTTTACTTATGCAGGTTTCAATTGACTTCGCAAATTTTGGTTGTATAATTACAATACTTTTGCACAAATTTTAATATTTAAAACAATTCGATTATATAATGCACATATTAATTGTTATTTGCTAATTTTTTTTAAATTTATTTCCATTTAATTTTTCAAAATTTTATTCTGCATTTGTTTGCATAGATTTTAATAAAACCAAAGCAATAGTAAAATTCAGCTGATCTCGTTTTTCATTAATTAGTTTCAAATTTGATTATCATAGCAATTTACATAGTTCGTTACATAATTAGAATAAATTAGCTTCTTTTTTAAATATTAATGAATCCAAAGCAATAATTAGTTTAGTCAGTCAAATATTCAATGTATTTTGCTATATGCAGTCTTAAGTTAATATAATCCAGTTTATTTATTAGATATTAATTAACCTTCAGCAATAATTAATTATGTAAGTCACGTATTAATTATGATTTGCTATAGAAATTATTATAGTAATTGGTTAGTTTCATTCAGCTTTTTGCCTAGATTTTAATTAAACTAAAGCAATAATTAGGTTAGGCAAAACAACAAAAAATTATGTGAATTTTTGTTGAACACATTTTTAATATTAATTTCGTTTTTTTTAATGATTTTACTCAATTAACTTGCATTTACTAATTATTTCTTCTTAAGAACCTTATATAATTTTCTTTCGTCAAGTTATGTTTTGAAGTTTACATTATTTTTTTGATTTCATTACATTCGTGTATATTCACTTTTATTTTGATGCATCATTCATTTAAATGTAGCTGAGACCGACAATATTTAAGTTAATTTATCTACAACGAATTTGAGTACCTTATTTTATATTAATCAAATCCGATCCAAAGATAAAAAAAAAGATGTATGATTCGTGTTGAATTTGCGCATTGGTATGTTACATAACTATAATTGATATCTAAGAATATGATAATACACGAGAGGAAATTCAAGCACTGCCATTCTTGTAAGTTTATGTACTTTTTTTTATTATATCTCGAATACAGGATTACTACTAATTTACAAAAGTAACACTAAGTCTATTGTTTCCATTAAGAAACTGTAAATAATTATGACTATGCCTACTTTACCTAGTGTTTCATT